AAGCAGCCGAGCAGTTTACGCAACGCGTGCAACAGCACGTAGAAACATATGATGAAGAGGAACCGTGGAGCACGGAGTTTCTACCAGTCGTGGAAGTCCTATTCAGGAACTTGAGCAGCGACGAAACAACTGTCATACATGACAATCATACGGTAACTATGCCTATTGAGAAATATCTCGACCTCCTCAGAATCGCACAATCATTGCGAAACTCTATCCAGAGAGACAAGGAGGAAAGAAAGGATCATCTTGACACCATCCAAGATACTCTATCCAGAGTGGAAATCCTTCTAACAGCACTGAAGGACTCAAAAACAGTCTTCAATCAATTGGTCCATTCCTCACTAGAGATAGAGCGAAGACATAAAAACCTCAAAAATGTCCTTGAGACACTTTTTGACGACCAAAGCTCTGAGGAAGACCAGTCAGAATCTGACCATGAAGAAGTCCTAACTCCTTCTGCAGCACAGTACTGGAACAGCCTTCATGCCCACGCCTTATCTCCCTCAGGAGATGAAAGTGAAAGATCATGGGCGTCCTCAGACGGACAGCTTGAAAGAAGAAGGGCCGAACGGGCAAAGGCTAAGCAGCCACAACCGGCTAAAGCCGAGGCAACTCCAATCAGCTCACAAGCTGCACCAAAGGCCGAGCCAAAGGCGACTACATCCAACCATGGATATGACACTGCAGACGCCGCCTTCACCAGGGCTGAGAACAGATTACTCGGAATCTTTTCAAGTTCCGAAGAAGATCACTCAGACCCGGATGAACCACATCCGAACGTCTATGCTCGAGCCTATGATCCAAACCTGGATCCAAATCTGAGATAAGGAAAATCTCAGAGTTTCACAACAGTGACTCACAAGGCTCTAACAAGAGCACAGTGAAGGGCTGCATAATTCGATAGAAGAACATTACCAGACCTGATCCTGTACAGACGATCTCTCTGACCAATGTGCATGAAAGAGTTCAAAAAGTGATTTCAAGAGTGACTTCAACAGTGTACTTCAGTGCTATACCTAGCATAAACAATATGCTGTTTTTATCATGAGTCCAAACTCCGCAACTGTGACAGTGGGCATAATAGTATATGTGTGAATGTGCGGCCATGCTTCCGGTAAAAGAAAATTAGTGTCTGTTTGTTTGCGTAAACCTCTAAAGGGGTAGCTCTAACAGGTACCTACAGCAATGGCTGCATGCTCATACATATACATTCCGCTGCCCATTGGCTCACAGTGGTTTTACCATATTGCGACAAGACAAGCTCTCCTTGCGTAGCAAGACAAAACAACTACTGTCCGTGTGCAGGGCGCTGCCCTTGATCCTTAGGGAATAAACTGGTCATACACTCCTAACAAGGAGCATTTCCTTGTGGGTGTATCGGCTCACCCCCCCCTGTTTGCGTAAACCTCTAAAGGGGTAGCTCTAACAGGTACCTACAGCAATGGCTGCATGCTCATACATATACATTCCGCTGCCCATTGGCTCACAGTGGTTTTACCATATTGAGACAAGACAAGCTCTCCTTGCGTAGCAAGACAAAACAACTACTGTCCGTGTGCAGGGCGCTGCCCTTTGATCCTTAGGGAATAAACTGGTCATACACCTCCTAACAAGGAGCATTTCCTTGTGGGTGTATCGGCTCAGTTTTCTGGTAGCGGAGCCCGGAAAGGGCCGCCCGCCTCCCAAAGTCCGCTACAGCGGTCGGCCTCGCCGAACGCTTAACCAAGCGGATAAGAGGCAGCACAATGTCGAGCTCGCATAGCGAAGCCGACGACAGTTCCCAATCCTCCGGGGGATATGAGAACGAAGAGACCTCCCAAGGTCCAGCCACTTATGTCGCACAGTCATATGCAACATCTGACCGCATGCTTGCATCATTAGGCATAACGCCCAAGATCGCGCCTGCCTATGATGGCACCACCTCGTGGTTTGAGTATGAACAGTTGATTGACGACTGGTGCGACATAACAACGCTGGATGACACCAAAAGAGGTCCGTCTCTCAAGACGAGGCTCTCCGGATTGGCCGCAGTACAAAAGGAATCACTGAACCGAGAAAGGCTTGCAGCCCCAGATGGAGTAGATTACTTCAAGAAGAAGATGCGTCCATTTTTCGTGAAAGGAGAACAGTACGTTTTCCTGTGGCGTTTCCTCGGCCTATTCAAGGCATGGAAGGGCAACCAAGACTTTGTGACTTGGATTGCTAAGTTTGAGATCGTGCTACAGCGCGTGAAAAACTCATGGATGGATCTCTTACCAGAGATAGCTCTGGAAGATGCCCATCCAGATTTCATGCAAGCTGTGCAGGCAGACCAAACCTTCTTGCGCATGCAGGATGCAGCCGAGAGAGACACATATGCCGCACGCTATTTCGAAACATGGAACAAGGAACGCCTTGACAATCATCGAAGAGCGTTTCCTCTGAATGATAATCTCCTAGCTCTTCTCTTCCTAGTGCAGTCCGACCTAAATGAGATGCAACGTGAGAGGTTGGTAACAGCATTGACCAACCAAGGTCACCGAATTGAGACCTACACGTACCCTGTGGTACGGCAGACCATGTTCGATCAGTTCTCAACGACCAGAACTGGTCTGCAGGATCCCAACATTCGGCACTCTTCTCACAAGAAGGACCGCCATGGAAGGAGAGACCAACGCCGTAAACGCGGAGGTCGAAACTTCCTCATCCTCGATCAGGGTGAATACGATGGAGTCGATGGATTCTGGCTCCAAGACGAAGACACCCTTGAGGAAGGCTTTCTTGCCGCCGAGGATGAAGAAGCTGTCTTCTGGACAGTTGATGACCATGAGGCCTTCGTTGCAAGGAGATTCAAAAAGGGAAGAAGACCAAGAATGCGTCCCGGATCACCGGGAAGAGCAAAGGGTGGCAAGCGAAAAGGACGTGGCCGTTTTAGGTCATACCGCGGAAAAGGGAGAGCCAACCAGGCAGAACATGATCCAACTGATTCCAGCTATTTCGGTAAAGGTAAAGGAAAGGAAAAAGGAAAAGGTGGAAAAGGCAAAGGAAAAGGAAAGGACAAAGGAGATAAAGGAAGCTCCTTCAAGGGCGCAAAGGCAAAAGGCAAAGGTAAGGATACAGCTAAGTCTGCCTCCTTACAAGGAGACCAAACTGGATCTCCACAGGCCTATGAGAGTTCCACCGCACCGAGCTGGGATTCATGGTATGAGGACAGTTATTATACTGACTCCAGTTGGAATTATGCCGCTTATGACGATCAAACGTCTTATACATACTATGCATCACAAGCCTCACGAAGAAAAACACGGAGAAAGAAGAGAAGAAATCAAGCAGGATCATCAGGTAGAGGCACAGATCCGAGCGCGCACCAAGAACCCGTGTTCAACTCATCAGTGAGTTACGTGCCCCAGGTCTTTGAACCATCCGAGGGGCAAGGTGTTGAAACTGCAACAGCGGTGTTTCCGTTGCAGCACACCGTCCTATCTGCTCTCACAGAGCGGATCAATCTTGATAAGAACCCTACCTTTGTCATACTTGACTCAGGTTGTACTAGGGCTATGGGTTCCCGCTATGCGGTGAACAGGCTTATCAAGGCCGTGAAGCAACGTGCCCCAGGCATGATTGATTTCACTTTCTCACCTTCGAACACGAAGTTCTCTTTCGCAGATAGTGAAACAGCTCTTATCAAGGAGCGTGTAACTCTATGGTTCAACACAACTCCAAGAAGAGATACAACCATCGAGGTTCTGGATCAGGGGAGAGTTCCCATTTTGTTCTCCATCGAACAGATGAGGAATCTAAGAATGACCCTCGAGTGTAGTCCCACAGCTGACCTAGCAACGTGTGAAGCTTTCGGTTTGTACAAAACCCCCCTTCCGATTAGTACCAATAACCATTTGGTATTGGACCTTCTAGGCTTCACTTCCACCAGGAAGTATCTCCCTAAGTCAGGTACGTCGTTCAGTGCGACGGAGACTGCTCTAGGAGCTAAGAAGCCAAAGGAAGAAAGAAGATCTTATACTAAGATCCCGGAAGGTCGCTGTCCAGCCTGCGCAGGACAGAAAAAGCCTCATACGTTCCTCAAAGGTTGCGACAAAGCACCTGAAGGAGCAGCTGATCCACCACCGAAGGGCATTCCAGGTAAGAAGAAGCCTCTTCCATCTGATCCGGCAGAATCATCTGCCAAGAAACCTGATCCACCAGAACCATCTGGTGATGCTCCTGAGCCTTCCGAACCATCGGAACCATCATCAGGCTCTAGAGACAAACCTGCAGAATCATCTGCACCGCACGAACCTCCAGAAGAAGAAAGACTTGAGGTTCCACCTGCGAAGACAAAGACTCCAAAGGGTCTTAAAAACCTTCTGAAGAAAACCCGCAAATATGCGGTCAAACCTCCTGTTGAGGAGAAGTCTATGGTCCCAGGAGCTGATGACGGGACGGAGGTAAGACCACTTGAGTCAAGAGAAGACCCGGCTCCTGGTACAGACTCACCTACAGGTGAAGAGATTGTCGCAGAACCATCGCCATCTCTTCCCATTGCTCTTCGCAGGATTCATGAGAAGCTTAAGGACCCTGTAGAACTCTATAAGCTTCACCTTAAGCACCGTCATATGAGTACGGATCAGTTCAAGCGACACACGAAAGCCTTACAGATCCCAAAGGAGATATATGAGCTATATGACCAACTGGTCAAAAAGTGTTCAGCCTGTCAGGAACACGTGAGAGCTCCTTCAAGAGCGAAGATTTCCGGTTTAAGATCAGAGACTTTCGGTGATCTCACCTTCGTCGATCACGGTGAGCTTCCAATTCCCGGCAAGAATAGTCGCTTAATATTTCTTATTCTCTATGACGGAGCAACAAACCTGTTGACTTCCGAAGTAGTCCAGGATAAAGAAGAGCATACTACAATGTCGATTATGAATGACTACTTTGAGAAATTTCAGATGGGTACCTACTGCGACCATTGGTTGGAATGGCCACGACACCCTCTCACAGCTGCTCAATGAATCTGCCAGGACCTGTGAGCACAACGAGAATTATCAGCGATGGATCGTCGATGGTGTTACGCTCCACTTTCGGCAAGCCGGGGTTCGGCCGACCTACGAGTGCAGCTTGGAGCGCTCTACATGGTTCCAGATGGAGACAAACTTCCGCCTGGTGTGCCGTGGCTCCTTCACTCGACGGTTTGCCAGGAAACGCCGCGCTGCTTCTACCAGGACTGGCTGAAGTGGTCTTTTGGGCTACCCGACTGCTGAATGGCTTCGCCTTTGGCTGGCGCCTTCGGCGGCTATGGAGGCTTTCTTTTCTGGCCGATCGTCTTCCTGGAACGGTGATGGTCGACTAAACTTCCAGGCCTCCGCTTCTGTAAAATGTGTTCTTCAGTGAGCGTGCATTCAGTTGAGCCTGCACTCATTGTCCTGCCTCATGAGTGATTTGCCGAAGCTGTCATGACAATTTTCTTGTTGCTCGCGCGCCTGCCCAGATGCATCCCAAACAGATGTTCATGTGGCGGGCACTTGCATGGCAACATGGACTGCTCACGCCACTCATTTGTGCTAGGACACTTCGGCGTACTGAAGGTGCTTGTCAACCAGTGCTCTTTTCCAGGTTAAGTGCCGTGCTGCACTTCACATAACCTACGTCACGATTTGGGATTGCCTTTTGTGCTAGGTTTGTCGCTGCGCATGTCCGATAGCCCTCGGAGTGACACGACTGCTGTGCTGGAAGATATCGAGCCTTCTCTTCAGGGGCTGCTTTGCATTCCGGCGGCGGTTGCCTCTGTGGGCGACTGCCTGTGTGCAGTCGATCGGCATTCGCTTGAGCTGATCTGCTGGTGGTGGCACGCGGACCTCAGGTGGCACTTGCGTGCGTGGTCACCCGTGGATTCGGCAGTTGCCTCTCAAGCTTCGGCGACACAGAGTCCTCGGCCCGCTGGATAGTGTGGCTCTGTGACCTGGGGTCGCCCTCTTGTGTCGCGCTCTTGCTGTGGGTGCGATACGGGAGCGCTCATGTCTCATTTCGACTTCAAGACTCTGCTTGCTTCTGCTGTTGACTCATGCTCGGAAGCCACTCCTAGGGATAAGCTGCTTCCGTGGGAGTCTGGAGTTTTCAAGCAGATCTTCGAAGGGGAGGATCCTTTGTCTTGGAAGGACAGATTCGATCTGCCGGACCCACCGGGGTGGGATCATGGCGACGAGGAAACTCTGCTTCCAGCCGAGAAAAAACGCAAGGTATTGGATGCTGATTTCTCGCAAGGCATTTGCTTTACTGTTGTTCGCAAGACTGAAGGATTGAGCTGGGAGGATCAACGGCAACAGGATTCTGACAAGGCTATTGCTAGATGGATTTTCATCATTGTGAAGTGGTCTGAGACGTGTCCTGATTTGTTGGTATGCCAAAGCCTGGATGAATGCACCGAGAAAGATCAAAGGATCAACGTGGTCCAGGATTGGCTGCATCCCAAGGCGCCGAGCACTTTGTTGAAGAGAGCCAATTCTATTATGGGATATCACAAGGTTGTTGGCTGGGGCGACGGGACTTTTCCTTATCGTGAGCAAGATGTGTACCGATACATGTCAGATGCTAAGGCCGGTGGGGCGAAACCGTCACAGCTGAAAGCTCTGCGAGAAGCTATAATCTTCGTGCGGCATGTTTTCATGGTTCCCCAGCTAGACCGGGTGATTGAAAGTCGTCGCTGTCTGGGGGCGTCGCAGAGGGGAACTGTGAAGCGTGGCAAGAAGAGGGCTCATCCGTTCTCCATTCTGGAATTGAAGAAGCTTCACCATTTGCTTGCGGACAAGGATGTTCCAGCTTGGGACCGCACCTTCGCAGGAGCAGTTCTCTGTTGCACTTACATGAGATCGCGTTGGGGGGACTTCCAACATTCAGTCAGCTTTGATATCGAGACGAACGGCCAGGGGGACATCATTTTCTTGGTGTACACTGTTGAGGTGTATAAGACAGTGAATTCCAAGTACTTTGCTGGCGAGCCTGTTAGGTTCATCGCTCCTGGAGTTGGGATTCTCAGTGACAACTGGCTGCACTTGTGGAAACAGGCTCGTGCGGAGGTCGGACTGTTTACATTCTTGCCGCCGCTGCCCACGCCCAATGCTGCTGGCGAGGCCATGGGGTGCTCGGTCTCTTCTAAGGAGATTACTGCTTGGATCCAGAAAGTCTTGGGACGCGACAATAGCAAGAACACAACAGGACACCTCATGAAGCGCACCTTCTTGACCATGGCGGCAAAGCGTGGGGTTGAGCACCTTGATCAGCTAACCATGGGTGGTCACGCCAACTCGGCGAAGATGGCCGACACTTATGGTGATGACGAGCTGGCACGGCCACTAAGGTTGCTCCTGGCGCTCTTGGAGGAAATCCGCGAAGGTGTCTTCGACCCTGACGCTGGACGTGCGGGGTACATCTTCGGTGCTGGCCTGCGGGAACGCCGGCTGACGGCGGATAGGAGGCAGGCCCGTGACTCTACAGTCACAGGCGTCTTTGCAGCTGGCGCGGGATCTGAGGCCACAAATGGTGATTGCCCTGCTGATCAGTCTGGCAATAGCAAGGACGGCTTAACAGAGCAAGATGCGGCTTCGTGGGATCTCCCGCTCCCTGAGCGGCTCACTGACGATGATTGGAGAGACTTGGGCATCTCTCCTCCGAGCCCAGGGCATGCTGCCGCCAACGAGGAGCCGGAGTCGCCCGACATCGGCGATTCGCCAGTACACCCGTGGGACAACTTGATCGAGCAAACTAATGAGAATGCTTCCGAGACAGACTCTTCCAGTTCAAGCTGTTCAGATGAGTCGTCTTCTTCGTCTTCAAGGATCAGTCACGAACCTGAGCGCAAGGTGGGTGTACCAAAGCCCGCCCTAGGCACATCTTTTCTGCAACACAAGCGGACTCGGCTTTTGCACTTGATTTCCGATCAAAATCGGAAGGTTTTGCTGTGCGGCCGCATGGTTGGCGACACATACAAGCCACCAATAAAAATTCGATTTGACTCTTCAGTTTGCCGGAACTGCAAGAAGTTCGCGGCGGATCTGTGAAACGCGCCTCTTCGAAAGACCCAAGTACTCTTCGTGTGTGCATGCTCGCACTGCCGGTGCTACTGTCATGGAAGCCTCTCCGCTTGAGTGTTTTTGTGACTCAGACGCAGGGCATCATGTCGCTTGTGGATTCCGAAGCTGCCTTCACCCAGCGATGCCAGGAGGTGAATGCGGGAACCATTCACACGGCTTTGCGTGACAATGGTGTCACGACCTTTGCTAGTCTGGCTTATGCATGCGGCACCCCTCAGGATCGCCCTACGCAGGCCGAGCTGGATGCTTTCAGCACTAGGATTCTTGGAGCTGCGCCTCGCTTGGGTGACGTCTCGCTCTTGAAGCGACTCATCTTCGAATCATGCACCTTTGTGATCGCACAGTTGCGCCAGAATGTTCAAGGCGATGCTTCTGAGACCCCTAAGAAACTCCCCCTCGCTGAAAAAGCGGCCAGAGCAGCCGATCAGAAACGCCGCTTGGCCGGGGTCCACATAGAGAGGGACTCCGTTCCATCTTATGCCTTGGTGGATTTGTGCTTCCATATGCTCGAGGTCGGGGTGACATGGATCAGCCCAGGCCGCTGCACGAGTCGCGAAAGCGAGATCCAACTCTCGACCCGCGATCAAACCAAGGTGTTTAAGCTGGAGGATAACAGCTTGAAAGTCGGAAACGAGGGCCCAGATGATGTGGCCTGCTTCGACTCTCCCATACGGCTACAATGGTGTCTTCAAAGGAGAGGCCTTGCACTTGATCAAGCTAGACTTATGTCTTGGCAACAACATGAGCGGTGGGTGCATTGCCTCCTCCACGCGCTTACGCGTGAGTGCCCTTCGGGGTTCCACAAGCCGGATATGAACCGCATTGTGCAAGCCGACCGGGAGGCATGGCTCATTCTTGCATCGGAGGTGCCGAGTCTCAAGGTCACGGCCGCTGGCGAGTTTCCGCTTGGTGTTGCACTCGAGGCCCTCCGCACTGACCCACGAATCACCATGTATCTTATGCCTACTTGGGGCCGGCAGCCTGACGTCAAGATGCCTTTGGATGTCCCGTCCCCACCAAAGGACGGCGAGGGTATGTCTCGCTCGGCAAAACGTCGGAGGCGCTTGAAGGCGGCGGCGGCACGGAATGCCACGCCGCCTGGAAAGTCGACTTCGACCCCAAAAGGGGCACGTGCCATGCCTGCCGAGTTGAAGGGCACGCACCAGAAAACCGAAGATGGCAAGCTCATTTGTTGGGATCACAACTGCGGCGGCTGCAAGCTCAAGGCTGACGGTGATCCCCCAGCGTGCCAGCATGGTGTTCATGTGTGTGCCTTCTGTCGTAGGGCTGGTCACTCCTTTCGCAATTGCCGTGCTCGCACTTGGAAGGGCACTGGTAAAGGCAAAACCAAGGAGTGACTAGTCGTTGCAACCCCCGGCCAGGTTGAGGCTGGACGGATCACTGGCCAGAATGACGACGGGCTGGGATACACTTTTTCTCCGGTGCCGGTGACAGCACAGGACCTTTCTTCTGCTGAATCGCTGGCCGCCCAGTGCCTGAATCTTGGCTTTGCAAGTTTTGCACAGCTTCGCGAGCTCAGTGCTCGCCTGCCGGCGGACTCTGTGGGGGCACCTTCAGGCCAACCTGTTGCTCCTGCGGATCCCAAATCTTTTACTTCTGGAGCCTACGTGCACCACGACAAGAACGGGCTTCGATCCAATTGTTTTGCATTTCCTTTTTCCACACAACTGCTTGCACGCATATTGTCGGCTGAGTTTCCTGATGCCTGTTTTTCTTCAGTGGCCTATTCTTCAACTTGAAGGCGCCGCTTCATTCAGATCGCAACAATGATCATCGGCACGCCAACCTGTTGCTGCCAGCCTCGCATTTTTCAGATGGTCAGGTTTGGGTGGAAGGTCGCGGGCAGCATCCGTGTCCTGACCTCTCCGCCAAACGCCTTGGTTACCTGCTTGATGTGGCTTCTGGCCCGCAACGGCTGCCCTCAGAGCGTCTTCACATTACATGCCCCTGGACAGGGGACCGCCTGCTCGTGGTGGGTTTCTGCGTTCGTGATACACAACGACTCTGTGAACGGGACTGCCACTGGCTGCGGGACTCTGGTTTTCCACTGCCCGGCCCTCCCCAAGATCATGCGGCCGCTCCTCGCCAGGTCACTTCAACGACTTCTTCGCCCTCTTTGTCTACCTCTACGACGCCGCCGCCACAGGCCTCAGCTTCCATCGCCAAGCGCCGCCGCGTTGCATATCGGCCTGCCTTGCCAGTGCATTCTACAGCAACGTCGTCTAAATCTATGACGCCAACTACACCGGACGACCAACATGCTGATGCATTGGCTGAGAAGATCTTCCCGAACAACCTGGCTCCACTTGTTATCGAAATCTTTGCTGGCACCGCCCGCCTCAGCACTGTTGCTGGGCGCATGGGCTTTCGTACTTTGGCGGTGGACCGCTCCTCGCAGAGAACCAATTTCTCTATACAACGACTGGACCTTACGTTGGATGCCGACTTGCAGACGCTGCTTGACATCATCAATCTGGAGGCTGACAACATTGCTTGGATCCATTTGGCACCTCCTTGTGGTACGGCCTCGGCGGCACGATCCAGGCCTTTACATAAGGCTGAGCACTACGGCTGCCCTGTGCCTCAACCACTACGCAGTGTCACGGAGCCGCAGGGCCTCTCCACACTGACCGGTGCCGACCGCGATCGTGTACTCGCTGCCAACAAGTTGTACCGAGCTGTCGGCTGCATCGTTGACCTCGCCCTGCAGCTTGGTCTTTTCGCGACCGTTGAGAACCCTCTCAACAGCTTGGCTTGGCTATGTGACGGCCTCGACCACCTTTGTCGCCGTGAAGATAGCTACCAACTCATCTTTGATGCTTGCATGCATGGCGGGGATCGCGACAAAACTACCTTATTCTGGTGCTCCGACCCACGCTTTCAGTCGCTGGCACTGCGTTGTTCCCGTGACCACAAACACGCATCCTGGAAGCCTCGCTTTGTGGATGGGCATTGGCAATTCCCCACTGCTGCGGAGGCGGCATACCCTTGGCTTCTTTGCGAACGGATGCTTTACATTCTGGCTGAGAGTTTTCCTGCATTGGCTTCAACTTCACAGCAGCCGCGAGCCTGTGAGCAAGTCGCACTGCAGCGACAGCCAAAATATGCTCGACCTCTGGTTTCATGCTACCAATCACACGACTGCTGGGCTGTACCTGTACGCTCCGCGGATGCTGCGGCACCTCTTTTGAAGTGCTACCCCAAAGGTGCTCGTGTGACGCAACGCAAACTGGTGCCGTGGGGAGCAGTCCGGGTTTGCGCTGCCTCGAAATATCCTGGTTTCGACAGACATAGTTCTGCCGAGTTGCTGGGAGGGACGGCCAAGATCTATCAACCTGACACTTCCGATTTCTCTTTGCTTGCAAGCGAGGATAAAAACGACGTGTACGAGGTGGTGGGAATGGTGTGCGATGACAATCCTTGTGCGACCCAGGCAGAAATTCTTACTATTGGAATTCCACATGAACCGGAGGACTTTGTGAAGGCTGCGGTCCAAGCGGGGCACCCTCGCAATGCAATACTGGTCAATCGCCAAGGTCCGGCAAAGGAAATCGCTGCCAACGTAGTTATGCCAGCAGAGGAGCGCAAGAAAAGGGCCGATGAGGCTCGGGATGCGTGGAAGAAAATTTCCAAGGAGTCGGCTGAGACCAACGACGCGCTTATGAAACAAAAGCCCGCGTACTTGGCGAAGGCGCTGGCTGGCAAGAACGTCATTGCTTGGCAGCGCATTCTTGAGCGAAATGGTTTCCCTGACCAGATGCTTTGGGCTGACTTGCGTGATGGCTTCCGCTTGACAGGATGGATGAGAGAGACCGGAATCTTCAAACCTAGAGTCAAAGCACCGGAATCCTCTCTTGAAAGTCTGCTAGCACAATCGTCTTACCGATCTCCCATGACTATGAGCCGGATAACAAACACGAAGCCGGACGAGACGTCTAGGAAGGCGTGGGCTGAAACCCAAGAGGAGGAGCGCAAGGGCTGGATCTTCGAGGACACCGCCCCTGACTTCAGCAACATCATTCTGGCGCACCGCTTCGGGCTTGAGCAGAAAAACAAAGTACGGGTGATTGACAACGGCAAGGATTGCGGCTTGAACATGGCTTGCGGGCTGCCAGAGAAGTTCACCCTGCACGGGGTCGACGTTCTGGCGGCTGTCTTCCTTGAGTTGTTGAATATGCCACGTGACCGCTTGTTCAAATTGGTTGGGAAAACAATAGATCTCGTCTCCGCTTACAAGTTCTACCCCGTACATCCTCTTGACAGACAACACTTGAGGATTGGTGTGTTCGACACGGACAGCAAGAGGGCGCGGATCTATGGGACTAATGTCCTACCTTTCGGTGCCACCGGAAGTGTGGCTGGCTTCCTTAGGGTGTCAGCCGCCGTCTGGCACACTGGCGTCCGAGACATGGGCTTGGGCTGGTGCGCATACTTCGATGACTTTCCATTGCTATCTTGTGATGGAATGGAGGAACAGATCGAAGAATTCGCCGACGAAGTGTTCGAGGCTCTTGGGATTCAGTATGCCAAAGAGGGCAAGAAAGCAACAAAGTTTGATGCGGTTTTTAATGCGCTTGGCTTGGCCTTCGACCTGTCGGGATTCGAGAGCGGGGTCATCTCCATCACACATACCAGCGATCGAAAGAAGGAGTTGAACGACGTTCTCGCGAACATCTTGCAGACGGGAAGACTTAGCCCCAAGGAGGCTGAAGTCCTCCGCGGGCGCATGCATTGGTATTCTTCTTACTTGTTCGGACGGGCACCGTGCGAAGCTATGCACAAAAATTCCTTGAGAGCCAGGGGAATCGATGGTTCATCGGAACTGAGCGCTGATCTGGAATGGGCGGTGAGGACACTGCTCCAACACGTCAGTACCTCGAGACCCTTGGAGTTGAGGCAGACTTCCGGGAGAGAGCTCTTCATTTTTACTGATGGATCTTATGAACCTGGCGCTGGGGTTGTGGCCGGCATCGGAGGAATCATTTACGATGCCTCTGGCGTCCCGTTGGCTTTCTTCAGCTCGGAGATCCCCAAGTCTGATTTGGAAGTGCTGGAGGCTGAATCCGAGCATCCAATCTATGAAGTCGAACTCTACGCGGTCCTTGTGGCGTTCATGCTATGGGCGGAAGTGTTGAGAGATACCTTCAGCACCTTCTACTTAGACAACGAAGCTGCGCAATCCGCTTTGATTGCTGGCCGCTCTGGGACTCGAAACGGACGACGGCTCTTACAGCAGGTCTTATCGCTGGAACATGACAATATGGCTAGGCCGTGGTTTGGGCGTGTGCCTACCCACTCGAACCCGGCAGACCCGCCTAGCCGACAGATCGTGGACCACCTGATCAGACAAGGCGCAAGGCAGGACGATGTCGACTTGGGCTGTCTGCTGCTTGAAAGGCCTCCGGATACGGGCTGAAGTGCACTTCGATGGGGGAAGTTCGGGTGCACTTGAAACGTGTGCTTTAGGAGTCGTGGCCCTTGGCCGAGCCTTGGAGGCTTGACCTTGGGACAGACAGCCGATTTGACTTTCGACTTTCCCCATTGCACTTCGAGCTTATCCGATAAAATGAAGGAGGGGTCCGAGTGAATGCATCGCAGTCTCACATGTCTGATTGAACATTTCATACGAAATATATTTGATTGATATTCCCAAATAACGACGAATTTGTTCATGCGTTTGTGGACTTGGAAACAAGTGACCACATCACTTGTGATTTTCACTTTATTTCCAATTTCACAACGATTGTTGTCTCGTTGAGAAACGATCGTGCATGAACACTTCGGGCGGTTTTTGGGAAACTCTTTTGAACCTGATTTTTAACGATTGAGTTTTTCATGAACTTATTCTTTGATGATCAGTTGCTAACATGTCTCCCGCGCACGCTCCTTCAAGCACATGAGTGCAAATTTTTGTCCCGCCCGCCCACCCTGGGGGAAGTTCGGGTGCACTTGAAACGTGTGCTTTAGGAGTCGTGGCCCTTGGCCGAGCCTTGGAGGCTTGACCTTGGGACAGACAGCCGATTTGACTTTCGACTTTCCCCATTGCACTTCGAGCTTATCCGATAAAATGAAGGAGGGGTCCGAGTGAATGCATCGCAGTCTCACATGTCTGATTGAACATTTCATACGAAATATATTTGATTGATATTCCCAAATAACGACGAATTTGTTCATGCGTTTGTGGACTTGGAAATAAGAATGATTACTTTGAGAAATTTCAGATCAACCCAAAGGTTGTAGTTGGAGATCAAGCATTCATGACTCCAAAAATGGAGGCTTATTACAATCGGCAGAATATCAAGCCTGTAGCAACAGGACCTGGAACACCATGGCCCAAACAGGGCCGAAGCTGCTGTAAGATTGCTGAAGCATCAGATTAAGATCATACTTCAGATCCTGAAGGATGGTGACCCGCAGTATAACGGAATCACCATGAAGTATGGCAACCTCGTTCGACAAGCATGTTTGGCAAGAAACTCTTCGATTACCTATGGAGGAGTTACTCCTTTAGAAATGGCCTTTGGTAGGCGTCCTCGAGATGTTATAACACCAGAGAACGCTGATCCCAATCAGTTGACAGGTAATCCAACTGATACGGAAGTCACTGCGAGAGCCATTAAGGAGCTTGCCAACAGGGCTTACCAAGAGGCACGCCAATCTGATGATCTGCGCAGAGATCTTGCGGCCAGACTGTCAATGACCGAAGGACCTTTCTCTTTGGGAGATAAGGTTTTCTACTGGTCAGAGGATAAGTCTAAGATTGGATCAACTGGGTCCAAACATGGATCTTGGCTAAAAGGAAAGGTGATCTCCGAACTCGGAGGATCCATGGTAGGTGTGGATCTTGGAACACGCATCGTCCGCGTTAATATCTCAAAACTGAGGAAAAATTATGACATAACATCTGATGTGGAGATTCCTCTCGCGCCTGATGAGGAAACTCTGACGTCAGAAGGTTCTGACCACGCAAGTTGCATGGTCACCTTTGATGCTTCCCTGCAGTCGACAGACCTAACGGTTCCGCATCAAGAGTGTCACTGGCAGGTCACCAGCACTGGGAAGATTGACTTCCTAGAACTCTACGGTGGATCTCCCCGTATGAGTCACAAGGCTGCCCTGTCAGGTCTGCGAGTAGGTCAGCCAGTCGACTTGCGTAGTGGTCTAGATCTTGAGCAACCGCAAGGTCGCTCCAATCTTCTTAGGATCATCAAGGAACAAGAACCTACTATTATTGTTATGTCACCCGATCACTCTCAGTGGTCTAGCTGGTACTCACAGTGGAAGAAAGGCTCTGCCAAGAGACTTTCTGTTTTAAAATTCTGTGAATCGGTCGCAGACCACCAAATGAAGCTCGGACGCTACTTTGTTCTTGAGAACCCATACTACAGCAGGCTCTGGTCTTCACCAGAAGCAAAACGCCTGTTTTCCAACCGCAAGATCAGCTATGAGGTCTGTAACCTACAAGCCTATGGCATGAAAGATCCAAAAGGATACTATGAATCGAAATCCTCGATTTTCATGCACAACCTGCCACCGCAGGTTCTAACTCCTCTCCAGAGGCATTCTGCCAAAACGAAATCTCCAACATCTCCACCAGGAGACGAAAAGGGTATTCAAGGCTACGGTCTTAAAACGAAACTCGCACAAGTGTATCCTTATGAATTCTGTGAGACCTTTGCCTCGTGTTTGGCAAGATTCCTGAAGAGAGATACATATGCATCTCATCTTTCTTTAGTCACAGACATACTAGGATACTCTGGAGATGAATGCCTCCAGGGACTTTCGGAACTTCTTGACCAAGAGTATTCACTTTTGACAGCAAATCCTCTCAAGGATTCCAAACTCCTGCAAGATCCGAAAATCAGATCACTTGTTGCTAGAGTAAATTCCTTATCGAGTAAAACTGAATTACCATTGCATCATTCCAAACCATCACCGTCCCTTGATGCCTTGGTGTCAGACATTACTCGCCTTAGATCAAGACTCTTACCAGGGTCTGGTTTCGAACAGTGTACTCTATACAGAGGTACATTTGGAACAGTCAAAGCACTCACCAGTGTAACTGATGGCGTTCTTGTCTTCTGGAACAAGAAGAAGCCCAATTCGACTATGACGTGTTGCTTGCCGCACCAGGTTTCCTGGAATAAAGTACACCCATCAACCTTCTCGGGGGTGCTCTTCCAGATGACAGGCGGCAAGACTTCACCGTCCGTGCGAACACCGCCGGATGTTATCATGTCGGACGAAGAGGTTTCGCCGTCAGACCCGTCAGAACCCATGAGCACTAATCGCTCACGGATCACATCTGACGATGTCTCTATGCCGGAACCAGATCAGCCGATGCCTCCCGGCACGCCGCCGTCGCGTCCTCCTCCTCCCATACCTCCACCGCGACTACCGGCCGTTTCCTCCGATGAGCCCGTGGCTCCTGCTCGGGCTAAGCCTCGCGTGCATCCGCCTCCTCGCGTTCCGTCTCCTCGGCGTCTGGGGGGTGATGTGTCGCCAAGGTCTTCATCGGAAAGGAAAGTTTCGCCGCACAAACAGAAATCACCTTCACAGGTGCCGACACCAAAACCTAAACCGAAGGCACATCCACAGGGACCCATTCTTCCGTTACAACAAGATGAAGAAGATTCTGAAGAAGAACTGGTCCCGGACGACCCCGGACAACCGTCCGCTCCTCCTCACACCTCTGGTTCACCAGAACCGGAGAGCGATGCCGAGTCAGAAGACACAAGGTATTACTCTGATGAGGAAGGTGACCTGGTCGTAGATGAGAAGGACTGGATCCTTCTCACAGAAGAACAGAAACTGTGCAGTAACACAGGTTCTTTCTCCATGCCTCGGTACATGCATGGCGGACCCGTAGACATCAGAGAGGTAACATCAAGAGTGAGGTCAGACCGAACACGGTATAAACCCACCAAAAGGTTCCGATCTGACATCCGTGAAGAGTATGATCTTCTCACGGAAGAGGACAAGGCCTTATCCCTAAGTTCCCCCAGGAACTCAGCAAATCTGACCCAGAAGGCACAACGGAAGGAGGCAACCGCCAAAGAAAAGCGTGAGATGAAGAAACAGTTTGATGAAGCGAAAGCAGCAGAATATCAGAGCTGGCTAGACAATGATGTCTTTGAGCTCGTCGATACACGGAAACTCGGAAACATCCGAAATTATGTCACTGGTCGATGGGTCCTGACTCTAAAAAGAGATAAGGACGGAAACTTCCTTAAGTGCAAGGCCCGATGGGTCCTAAGAGGTTTCCAGGATCGACAAAAGGACATACAGCAAACTGATAGTCCTGCTGCGAGTCGCCCAGGTTTCCGCTTAGCGATTCAACTAGCAGCTAACAAGCTGTGGAATCTGACACACATCGACCTAAAGACTGCTTTTCTGCAGGGTGAAGCCTATGATGAGTCGAGAGACATAATCTGTCAGATTCCTCCTGAAGCAGGTTATCCTCCCTACATTGCAGCGAGGATGAAGAAACCCGCTTATGGACTTAACGATGCACCTCGAAGATGGTGGAACATCGTTGATAAGGCACTCCTGTCTTACGGCCTGGTGCCAACCCGTGCGGATCGCTGTACATATGTTCTGTATGGTAAGAAGTCTGCAACAGCAGATGCTGAGATCAAGAAGTCTCAGCCAAAGACCATGGAATCAGCGATTGACTATCTCCTAGATCCCATAGCAGGCAACAATGCCAAGGGTAGACAGGTACATGGAGTAGTCTGTTTACATGTAGATGACCTGTGCATGGCCGGTGATGACACCTTTCGTAAGGCCGTGATTGAATCGATCAAAAAGGAGTTTGCAGTCGGTTCTGAAGACACGAACGATATTATGTTTGTAGGACAGAGATTAGTCTGGAAGGATGCTACAGCATCGGTACCAGCACATATCTCAGTAAATCAGAACCTAGCTGTTGAAGCTCTAGAGGAAATTGTTTTTGATAAGAAGCTCAACAATGAGCAACAATGCACACCACAGCAGCACACTGCTTACAGAAGTGTTTTAGGACAGATCAACTGGCTACAAAGCCGGACTCAAGCTCACATCTGTTATCGCTTCAGTCGGTGTGCGAGTAAGGCTGCCAAGCCTACTATCGGTGATATTCGAGAATTGAACAAGCTTGTTAGGATTTTGAAGTCTACTGAAGTAGAACTGCGTTTTTGGCCGCTGAAAGGAAATCTCAGAATCCTCGGTTACCCTGATGCTTCCTACAGGAACAATGATGACAAATCATCTCAGAGAGCACATGTTATTTTCCTTGCTGAAGATCGAAATCCAAAGCTAAAGGGAATGAAACAATCAGCAGCAGCTGCTTCTTCCAAGAAGAACGATTTCTCTGAATCCTCTATTAAGGAAACATCCTCGAGAGGTAGCCTGGTGGATTATGAGTCTCACAAGATT